TTACATCTTGTAGAATCATCTTGAGCAGCTACCGACACTCGTCTCAGCATGGTCTTGCCAGCATACGGCGATGGAGGTTGGAACAAAGCAATAGAATGCGAGAGACAGCCAGAGCTTGCACATAACTCTTTCTCCGTGGCCATTTTGGGACACAAACACCATGCGGAGATTCGTAGCGATTTTCGAAGTACTACCTCGCGAAAGAGAGTAGTCGAGATTGCAGAAGCGCAAAGCGCAGATGGCAGGCTTTATATAGCCGTCGGTGTCGGTCATCGACAGCAATTTGAGCGCGCGATCTTTGACAGATGCAGACGAAGCATCGTATTGTCATCAGGAACTTTGAAGTCTTGCATGACGGCTATATATCTACTAAGCACCTCTTTTTCGTTTCTCAGAAGTACCGGCATTTTAAACATAGAATATATGATTGAGAAGTTGCGTAAAAATTCATTATTCTCTTCTCCTTGGACATGGCATTGCATCCTTTTGGTTTTGTTCCAGAGTCCAGGAGGATCGGCCATGCGATAGTTGCGGCGTCATTTTGATTTAGCAGAGTCGGGCTTCGAGACATAGAAAAGTGAAAGAGAATAGAACCCGAAGGTTTGTATGCTCATCGTATCGTCGAAACGGGACATGTGATTGTAGAATGTGCATCTTGAATGGCAATAGCCCTTGGATGAATTCCGTTCTCGGCTCGCGCCAGGACATAGTCGAAGCACTCAATTTGTTTGGTAAGAAGACATGATACCGCATCTTCGCATTTTGGTTTGAAGACCGAGTAGCTTAGGGTGATAAGAGGAAGACTGTGAGGGGCAGGAACGGGCTTTTATATATGTGAGCGGTCAGTGCGCTGCTTTAACTTCGTCATACAAACCATGACCAAGTATGTTGTAGACCAGTTATCCAGCATCAATACATATCAGCGAACACCATAGTGTTGGCGCTTAATTAGTGGCTGCCTGAGCAGTCTCAAACCATCAAATGACATCCTCGTGTTTTTGAAGATGAACACATGTGTTCATGTATTCGATAACAGCACATCTAGTCTCCTTGGTCCTCTCCATGACGTGCGCAAGTACGCGTCTCCGAACCGTATTTTCCGACAAGAACATCAAAACCTTTTGTGTGAATGCTGTAGCGTACACTCAAACATGCGTTCAGCATGTCTCGATTTCTTGCTCACACATAAAACTATAGCCTATGGGTTTGGTTCAAACAACGCAGAACACATCGCAACGCTGGGTTATCTTTTTGGAACATAGAACCAGTCATATGTGTTTTCTTGGTGGGAAAAGGTGAGTACATGCGAGGAGAAGAGCAGTACCAAATCGATATTTTATACCAGACCCAGCACTACTCACGCCATTTGAAATAGCTGCTTTTTCTTTGTTTTTGCGTGAAAGTGAACACTCAGTCTCATCGAATCTTTTCTTCTCGCTTTTCTCACTCCGAAAACAAGGAAGTTGTGGAAGAGAGCAATGGCGAACAGCCCCTGGCTATAACCGCGTCGTTGACGTTTTTGGAATGCGCACATGGCATGTTGATCTGAACATTTGGAGAAACCTCCGGCGGAGAACCCACAAACATATGCCTTGTGAAGTCGGTATTCTGAAGGTTCGTCTTTTGAGAAAGTAATGAAGGCATGAGAAGAGTTCTCAGCACATAGATCACGTCGTTGTAATTTTGAAAGTCGGGAAAACTCCATCACGTGAGGCTCAGGTGTTTTGGATATGTTTCAGGTTTAGAAGATGATGTAGGAAGTAAGGTAGCGGCAGGCTGTGAGCTTATGTAGGCATCGCTGGAGGCCTGTGCGTGCGCATGCCCCAGGAACGTTTTAGTACAGAATCGCTCGAATCAGACATCACCTGATCCAAGACTGCCTTCGCTGAAAACAGGACATTGAAAGAAATCTAAGGAGGTATCGTAGGTATCTATGCATCAGTAATCGTTCAAAACCAATCCAAGTATGCTCCGCCTCATAGCATAGCAACCACACAGCTCGCCAGTGCCAGAATTTTACATGCTCATCACCTCCAATAGCCTAGACTTCTCTCCAATTCCGACTAGTCACTCGCTCTCTCGTATCCAGCCTCGGGCCTCTACCCATTTCACGATACTCTCTCGCAAGCCCACCTCTATCACTTCCCTGATCGATCATCCTCACCGCCCTCCTCTCTTCCACAAATGTAGCAGGTTGTCCATTTTCATCGATACCCTTCCAGCTTCTGATATCATTGATCTCAGCTGAATGTGCGCTCTCCGAATCGGTATCATCATCTTCTTGTCTTCGGCGACTAGGCGGTGGAGTCATAGAACGAGTTCGTTCGAGTGCTCGTGGGCGGGAGACATGGCGAAATAGTGGCCGCGGTGGTCGTCCAGGTGACGGAGGAGAGGGCGGAAGACGGGGCGTACGACGTGCGGGAAGAGGAGAGATGTTGCGGACCAGTACCTCCTCAAACCGTCTTGAGGGCGGAGGAGAAGGTGAAATACGGCGCTGTCGATCAATGCGAATTTCCTCTTCGTACTCCCTTCGTGGAGACGGCGATGAGTGCCGTATGCGAATCCTCTCGAAGTCCTGGGATAGTGGCTCTTGTGGAGGATCGTCTACAATCCGACTGCGGGAATACTCTCGGTAATGCTCGTACTTGTCGCCACTCGCCAGTCGTTCGTCGGCATACCTTGATCTTCCTCTTGGCTCAAGTACTGGCTCTTCTTGCCTTCTTCCACCACCAAAGTGAACACGAGGTCCTCCGACTTCGACGCGCATGCTCTGCTGACTTTCGCGCATGGTATCTCTTCGCCTGTGAGAGGTTTCGTGCTCGGTGCCTAGGGGCTTCAGGATGCTCCGACTAGGTGAATCCAAACGGCGACGTGGCACAGACTCAGCATTGCTCGAAGTTTCATCCGACGCCTTGAGAAAGCTACGCTGCTCTGGTCCAATCGGGCGGTGCGGCCTCGGATGCGACATGAGACGAGCTTCCGCTTCCTCGTTTCGCCTTTCAGCCCGGAAGCTGACACGAACTGGAGATCTACTTGAACTCCTAGTACGTCTTTCCTGAGACTCGCTCCGATAGACAACTCTCGAAGATCTTGTCGGCGGCGGGGGCGACGGACTGAGTTCGATGATCCTTGAGCTTGCCCGGCGCGATGGACTTCTCTCGACCTTCCTGTAGGAGTGAGCACGGACAACGTCTGGAGGAGGCCAAACCTCGTCAGATCTCGAGGTAAGACTAGGAAGTGGCGGAGGTGGCGCAGGGTACACTTCATCCGACCGTGTTTCTCTAGTGCGGACGATGTCAGGCGGGGGCCAAACTTCACCAGCATACCTGGAAGAGCGGCGAGGACTCAATGAGGAAGCTTTGAGTTTTCGTTCCGACCTAAACTCTCGTGTCGGCTGTTGAAGCACTCGCAGGCCCAGGCGCGCCTGACTGGACTCTCGTCTAACAACACGAGGACGACTGGGAGAGTATCGCGTGACATAGATCTCCTCTCTATTTTGTCTTCGGCCCCTACGCTCGTCATGGTCGATGTCGATGTGGACACATTCTTTAGGCCAGTCGCAGGGTTCCTCGGCCGTACATCTTCGAATGTACCTGTATCTGCTGCTTGAACGATGTGAGCCTGCAAGCTTCTTTTTGCACCTTCGACAGGGTGTGGGGATCATGGGCTTGTTAGGAAGGACCGGGTTATTGCGATGGAAACCTGCGGAGCGCATCTCGCCGCAGTGACTGCAGGTGTGACAGAGCATAACTGGCACAGCTACTTCTTCTACCTGCGGGGGTGGTGCTTGCGCGGCATGTGATTGTCCGTATTGTTCGTAGTGGTATTGCTCGCTTATCTGCCTCGATCTTGACTCCATGATCTCCTGCTGCGTATTGCGTGATGATGGAACCATCGCGCTCGTAAGAGGAGCGCCTCGTCGACGTTCCATTCCAGAACTTGGATTGCTACGCTGCCAGTCGGCGTTGTACCCTGGCGGAGGTGGTGGTCGTGCGTCGTAGCCCAGTGGAGTATGAGCGTGCCCTTGTGGTCCGGCTACTGACGGTATCTGCTGTTGACCCTGTTGTTGTGACTCAGGGCTTAGGAGCGGTGGTGGACGCTGCGGGATCCCTAGATGATTGTACACGCCCTGACCATATCCAGCTTGCTGAGGGTATCCACCCTGCTGAGGGTATCCGGCCTGTTGAGGGTATCCAGCTTGTTGAGGATAGCCTCCCTGGTATCCGGGAAAAGAAGCGACGGACGAGGCAGCTGGCGGAGGCGTGGGTGCTGTGGGAGGGACTCCGAGCCCTTGGAATTGCTACACGGCGGGTAAGCCAGGTTCTATATTTGCTGACGCACTGCGCGCGGGCGTCGATGAGATGGGGCCGAACATGATTACGTCTATTCTTGCTGTCAGCCAACTTCTGGTCTCAGGCGACAATGGCGCACTTACACATTGTAAAGATACGAATTGGCTGGCCGGGCGAAGGAGCCGGGGTACTGAGGAATTGGCTGGCCTTGATCCTGGCCTTGCCCGCTACTGCCACTGCCGCCAGTGCGGCCCATATACGACTCAAAGGCCCTTCTCTGTTCTTCGTTCGCCATATTGTTGTTTGAGCAGGTGCGGACGTGCGACTCGAAGGCGGAGGGAAGACTGGCCCTGGTCGTGGGTCCCACGTGGGCGACCGGGAAAACGCGAGCAGGTGTTAAGAGGAAGGAGCGACGGAGAGAGATGTGGGGTAGACAAATGATGGTTTGAAAAGCATGTGAGAAAGCATGTCGATGAACATGGAGTCAAAGTGAAAGAGCAGACGCGCAAGCAGGATTGCGCGACTGCGAAACCGCATCTCCAATCATGATGGTCAATCTCACCGCAACTCACCTCATGGACACCGACAATGGGACTTAAATATTCTTTTATTTCTTCCCAGACGCCCGCCTGCGAACAATGCCAACATGGCTTCTTATTTGTACAAATGCTATAGATCTCTAGCAAGATTTTGATACGCCCACCATATCTACTCAACTCTCAATACCCTAGGTCCCTTCCTCTTGGTGGACCGCTTCTTCTTGTGGCCCTTGTCGAACGATACGGCGCTTTGATGGTCGCGACCAAAGTTGTCAAGATCCTTGACCTTGTAGATTCTGATGATCCAGTTCTCGCTGGTAAAGGCCTCCTCGATGGTGCTGAGCTCGGGGCCTTGAGCGGGAAGACGCGCGCCACGGACACGGTCCTGGGCTTGTCCGGCGGGGAACAGCGCGTTGTAGTTGTAGTAAGACATCTTGTACCTGACATTCTGTTAGTATCTGCTGGAGTCGGTGGGACTAAATCACTTACATCAAGCTGTTCTTCATGGTGGGGGTAGCCTCCTCGTCCACACGGTACTCGCCTCGTGGAGTGAAGAAGTTGCGCTCCTTGACCTCATCGGGCCAGATACCCTCGGCAATCCTGACCATCCAGAGGAACTTGTTGATGTCGTCTCCAGAGTAGCCAAGTAGACCACCAAAGACGACCAATACGTAGTCGACCTCGTGTTGACGCATGATGGGGTAGCTGACCTCCTCCCTGGAGCTCATGGCCTTGCCGACGGTAGCAATGTGCGTGTTGTTCCAAGTGTTGTTGTCGACAAGGGTAGGGCGGTCGGCCATACCACCGATCTGGTATCCGTAGTCCCACCACGACATGATCTTGGCGTTCTGAGGGGTGTTCTGCCTGAGCCAGTAGTATGCCTCACGGTAGTCATCGATGATGTGTTGGCTACCGTCAGGAAGTCTGGATGCGAGCACGACGGAGGGCGAAGAGTAGGCGTTGGAAGTGACCCATGTGCAGTGCAGAACGAACAGCATGAGGTAGATGGCGGCGGTTCCGGCGACGGTAAGCTTGGAGGCATACGAGTAGATGCCGACGAGCGGGTTGCGTGTAGATCGGAGACCCTCGGGAAGGATAGCTGCAGCAGCGACTGCAGCGGTATCGGTGCTGCCGTTCTCGGTGACAGGCTTAGGGGTCTTGACGTCGAGGTAGGTGTCGAGAATCTGCGAGAAAGCAATTGCCGATGCAACGCAGACAATGGGGGTCAAAGTGAGCATGAGACGAACCATGACACCAGCGAAGTAACTGGCGAGCACAGCGTAGATGACAATGAAGACCTGCTCGTCGGTCAAAGTGCGGAAGCACAGGTAGACACCGGCGGGGAAGAGCCAGATCATCATGTTGAGATCGAAGAAGAAGGCAGGCCATGCGGTAGGCTGATGCTCGGAGACGGAGGCGATGATAGGAATGTGGATCTTGGCGTATCCGGTATCCCAGAGCGAGTAGAAACGGCCAGTCCAGGGCGCAATGACACCAGAGACGGTAAGAAGCACCAGTCCTCCGACACCGATGAGGAAGACACTCAGAACCAGAGCACGGAGCAGTGTCTGGAACTGCTTGCCGGGAAGTTGTGCGCGAACCCAGTCGACAAAGGCCACCAGCTGGAGGAGGCCAAAGACACCGAGCGCGGACATGTGCTCGCTACTGCGGATGGGCAGGAAACCGACGAAGGGAATCTGCATACTCGCAAGCGTACCGAGCGCATACCACGAAGTGTAGCTGACGTATAACCGCGGGCTGTATCGTCCCATGCAGATCAAGACGAAAGCGTGCAGGGGCAGCAAGTTGGTGATGAAGACGTATCCACCCCACGCTGACACCATGTATCCGTAGAACAGCGCAGTCAATGCACCCCAGAACATGGATCCGAGCTTGACTGCCTTGATCCACAAGAAGAAGGTGAAGACGAGCAGGAAGATGGCAATGGCCTCGTTATCGTAACTTCCTGCGACGGATCGCGAGATGTAACCGGGGGTGATGCCCATGAAGGCTGCGGCGAGCAGACCGGCCGAGGGCGACGGGACCATCTCGGAGGTCAGGAGGTACGTCGCGAGCGCGGTAAGACCTGAGAAGGCAGGCGCGAGGAGGACACAGATGTTTCGAATGTCGACGGGCATGGCGAGAGCACGGAGGGCGTGGTAGATGACACCGCTGGTGACCATCAGTCCGGGGTAGAGAGTACCACCCGTGACTCGTCCAAGAGGATGCCATGTTCCTGAATTCCATGTCAGTCCATTGTAGCTACATGGCATTGGGGCATGCGGCGGAGATGCGTACGGTCGTCGAACCAGTCCCAGAAGCTGTAGAAGCCATTCTGTACCAGGTATTTCGTCGCTCGGAAGTTGAACCACGGATCGACTGCATTGCATAATCAGTCAATTGCACCATAACTCCTCAATTGTAGTACTAACACTCGTGAATGATGCTCTCAAAGCGAATAACGGAGAACAGACGACTGCTTACGGCGGCGGCAGCGATGAGGCACAGGATGATCACTCGGAGCAAGCCTCGAGTGTTGCGGCCAGTCGCCTGCTTGAGCAGCTGCCCGTCATCTACGGCGGCAGCCATGTTTGCAGGAGAAGTTAAGGAAGGTGAGGTTGTTGGTCGCAAGGCCGCGTCACGGAACTTCTCGAGAGCTATGCTTCATGAGCACACGTTTCCAACTCCACGCCTCGGCATTTGGTTTCGCCGACCTTCAACACCCCTGCAACGTCATCACCATCACCAAGTCCGCGACAGCCACGGCGCGCCATTAAGCATACGGCAGTCTTTCACTTTGCATCGACTCACATATGCGAAAATTGTCTACTGGGTATCTGGATCTGCGCTCTGAGATATCACTAGTCTGCGCAAAAGAAATCCATCATGAAAGCCTCCATCTCTTCAACACTGCAATTGGCGCATACGCGATGGTTGCAGTTTGCGCAAGCAACATCAACAACACCGCAAGGGTTCTGACATACGCACTGTATTGATTAGCACTGTTGCAAATGGCTGAAACGGGTAACTTACACAATAGCGATTTGTTACCAGGGTCTTTTGTCTTCGCTTTGCGTGGCGTTCCTCATATACCGAATCTTCTGAACGCTGTCGTTTTACTGCAGTTCCTAGCGCGATATCACCTGCAAGTGGCGAGGGTCGCATCGATGCATGGCTTGACATCGGCATACTGGGCATGTGGTTTGGAGGAGGATGCGACGGGCGCGGTTGTCGAACATCGTCATCCACGTCTCCAGGAGCATCCACATCGCCGTCCTTGTCCCTCTCGTCCTCATCGTCAAAGTAGTCTCGTTTCTTCTTCTCTTCTAGCAGCTCTTTCTTCGGTCGGTTCTCTTCAGCACAGATCCAGTCATCGATATTTCTTCTCTCCTTCTCGAAGTGACGCGCTATGTGATCAAACCGCTCATCCCAAGCTGCATTGCGTCGCTCTTTGAGCTGCACTATATCTTTGCACAGGCCACACCAGAAGGTACCTTGGCAGTTCTTGCCAATCCTGCGGAGGTTGACACGCTCTTGAGCAACCTCACATGCCATCTTATGCTCCCTCTCCAGGTGGTTCTTGAACGCTCCTTCGCGGTATAGATGCACACCACAGACCTGACCTGTCTGAAGTTCTTGGCCGCAGCGGAAGGCTTCCTGCTGGAAATGCTGACTGTTCTCGTGGCGCTTCCAATCTGACTTTGCGCCAAAGCGTTTGTGACACTTGGGATATGTGCATCCATAAGGCCTGTTATGTCGCTTGATGTGCTTACGCAGATCGCAGTCACGAGCGACCGCAAATTCGCAGCCAGACATCGGACATATCTTGCCATTGTTTGAAGAGCTCTTGCTGGAGCGACGTTGTTGTGTGTCGGGGGATCCTGGGCCTTTGTTGACAAGCTCAGCCATCATCTTTAACAACGCATCATTCTTCTCGGACTTCGACGGCCTCCTGGATATATCGTCGCGATTGGCTTTTTGCAGCAACTCTAGTATGCGACTCTCAATATCCACAGGCTCCGGTGAATGCAAGCGCTGTTCAGACTTCCTCTTGAGCTCTAGTGCTTGCTGCTCAGCCTTAGTCTGGGGCGCATTGGATAAAGAAGAACCCTGTGAGGACTTTTGAATCTTGAGATGGTTACTTCCAGACGCACCAGGAGCGGCCTTGATAGTGGAGAGAGAATCTTGTATTCCCGGTGCATTGTGCCGAGAACGAGTCACCTTCGACACTTTCTGAACGCGACCGTTGTATGGTGCGGAAGTAGGCCCGGGTCCAGAGAGCTGAGATAGTGGCTGTGCTTTTGGCACAAATACGGAGTCCTGGCTCGGCGAAGTTAGATATCTGGCATCCTGCATCATGGGGAAGTCCATCATGGACATGTTGCCCATCGTTGGGCTTATGGAGAAAGGAATCTCCATGCCAGCTACTGTTGACCCAATGTCCAAGGGTGTGACGTTTGGTTTACCCTCTATAGGAGAGTCGACTCGCCTGGGACGCCATACCGATCTATCAATGTCAGCTTAGCTGACTCTTCAAGTGCGAAATGTGCAAATATACCTTTCTACGAGTTCGAGCACGTTCTCATCTTTGTGCATCCTCTCAACATGCTGCTTGAAGTTGTCCAGACGTGGCCAGATCTTTTCTTTATTCCTACAGTCCTCCACTGCACACTGATAAGACTTCTTATCAATGTCCTTCCGATGTAGGCTTTTCTGATGCCGCTCAAGATCGTTCGTAGTCGTGAAGCCCTCTACTCTTTTGCAACCAGGTACGTCACACTTGAAGGGTTTGCTGTGTTTGAGCATGTGTTTCCTGTCACCTTCATCAGCACATGGTCATCTTATAGTGATGCCCATACGCACTTGAACTCTGAGTTGCACTTGAGTACTTCTGAGCACTCATAGCATGGAAAGTCTTTCTTTGACCTCGACCTTCCACTACGACTGCTGACATGGGATCGTTGATCTGAAGGCATCCGTGACATCGTAGGAGCCTCGCTTGTGGCAGACTCGACATGCATGTTGTTAATATCTGACATGAAACTTGCCGATAGTTCCTGATGGAAATGATCGGGATCATTGCTTATGACCGACTTGGTGTTCCGCGAAACGTAACCCTCGTCAGATGGCAAAGCCTGACTATCAACGTCAGATCCCGGACTCCATGGGAACTTGAAATTCACATTCGATCGAGGGGAAAGATCATGAGAGCTACCAGACTGAGATAGCCTCATATTGTACGGACTCCATGCTGGCTCCGGTCCTCTGCCTGCAGTCGGGCCATGATAAGGCCGGACATATCGTGGATCGAGAAGGTCAAAATCCCTCGGCATATGGGATCCAATACCATTATCTAACAGAGAGAGATTGGTCTGAAGATGATTCATACGATCAAAGCCTCTCGTATGTGATGAAGTCCTTGGGGTATGTAAGGAGGCTGATGAGCTAGATCTTTGGCTCCGTACACTATGTGCACTCCGTGGTTGTTGGGAAAACGTGCTCTGCTGCGTCTGCACAGGATCTATGTGCAATGCAGGTATCTGGCGGCCATAGTATTGGTTGGGAACTGAAATGTTATACGACTGTTGATAGTCCCCGTTCTGGTTGTGGAGTGACATGTTCGCTATCATGGGTCAGCATCTTTCGGGGCTGCCTCAGGCACCAACATGCCACCCAAATTCATCCCAACCAACTTTCGAACATGGAAAGAGGCATCATAGTCGTACAAGCATCAGTATATAAGTACAGACAAGAAGAGAAATAAGAGTATAGAAAAGGCAACAACAACACATACCTCTAATCTCAGATCGTCAGCCTGCTGCGATATGGAAGCCTTACGCCTGCCTCAAGGAACGCCGTACGCAAACCGTTTCAGAGGAACAGGCGCGCAGCTGTGCATTAGTAGATTCCAGCTGCAGCACACCGCCCCAATCTGCTAAGATGACAAGCCAGATGGGTACATGTAACAGTTAATGTGTGTGAGGTCCTCCGTTTCGTGTCCCATGCGCACGGGCATGCGCTGCCTGCCGGTGAGATATGAGGAAAGGCTTCAATACCAAGACGCTGTCACCTCATCGCGTGCACCTGCCCTGCACTGGCTGTATCGGAGGACTTCGATTCGAGATGGGTAAAATAGAGGACTGTGGTATGTCGTCACGGGTTCTTTCCACACGCAGTGGTTATCGCAGTTGTACGCCTGTGATCGCGATGGCGAGGGTGCGCCGCATGTGGGCGGCCTCCCAGTCCTCCTCGCGCAGGGGCGCTACCAGGAAGGCGACCGGTGCCCTCTTTGCCCTCTTTCTCTTTCTGACAGCTCATTCGTGCTGGGGATGCACCTAGCGAGCCGTTCACCGAATTGCAGATGGAGGACTCCAAGTTGCGGGTGGCTGTGTTGAGAGTCCTCCATGTGCGTGGGAGACGCATACAGCCAATCACAGCCTCGGACCGGGTTCCTGCCCGGCGGCGCGATCGATTTAGCACGCCGCGCTGATGTGTGTATGACAGGGCGCGGGGGCTGCAAGTTTGAAAATAAGTCAGGCATTGTACTCGCGCAAAGGGGTTTTACTGGCGCTGGTGGTGGATGCCGTGCAATCACGCCCGCGCCCTTGTGGAGTGGAAGGTACTTAGGGGCTTTAAGTGGGTCGCAGCTTCCAGTCTACGGTGTATCTCACAGATGGTACTATATCGTATGGAGCGGACAACAAACTATGGAGAATCGTGGCATTGAGAAATTGATGCAATTAACGCGCCGATGTCTATAATACCATGCATGCCTATTGCACCATCAGATGCGACAATGTAGTCGATCCAATTCGAATCCGAAGCGACAGTAGGTATCGTAACGCGTCTAAACCAGATTCGCCTCGTAAACATGAAAACGTCTTCCGCTGCGGAAGAGTGGATATCGTACGAAATCAACGTGAGCCAAAACAAAATCAGATCCTACGCCTATCCTATGGGCGTATCGATCGAAACCCCTCCCATAATCCATCCCCGTCTATTGCTGATGTTGGTATTGATAGTTGTGTTGTGCCGTCAGATACGACATGGCAGGGTAGGTGCTGCCTTGTTGGTAAGCCATAGCGTTGTTGGTATCGTAACCCATATTCGGCATCTCAGTCGTCAAGCCCTGCGGCTCTTGGGTGTAATAGGAAGGAAAAGGTGTAGTCGTAGCATCGACCGGAGAGTCCGTGTACAGCGATTGCTGTTGTTGAACGGTATTAACAGGATTCATGCCATACTGTTGCACCCCACTCTGCATATTCCCATTCTGGTATGGCTGACTAGGAATTTGCAGCCCGTTCGTATAGCCATTGTGTGGCTTCCGAGGGACCTGTAGGCCTGGGTAGGTCTGGTTCGTGAAGTTTGTGGCATTGTTTGCCACATAGTTCGCATAACCGCTAGTCTGAGTCGGTGGCGGTGCCATTTGCGGTGGGGGGTAGGTTTGCATCGGCGTAGATCCTGCCTGAGATTTTATTTCCTGAGAGTAAAGACTGTGAGGGTCGATACCAGGTGCATATGCGGCATTAGGATTGTAGCGCGACGCGTTATCTAGTGGCGAACGGCCTGGAGTGATGGAGAGCTTGCGGCTTTCGGGTAGCTCTACCACGGGGCTAATGATGCTGTCCGCGTTGAGCTGCTTCTGGTCCACAAGCGTAAGAATAGGCATGCTGAGCTGCTCCATGTGTTTTGCCAAGTGAACAGTCAATTTCTTCCAGCTCGTACAGATGTTGCCACAAAACCGGCATGGCTCGTCCTTGGGTTGCTTAGTCGTGTCGCGACGACATCTTTCGACAATGGCCCAAATGTCATCTGCCTTTGCGTTAGCGAGATCTCAAACAAAAAGACTTGCCCATCTCACCCTGGTCACCAGTTGCTGTCGCGTCTTTGTGAGCGGCTCGGGTACGTTGCCGTGGCTCAGCTATCTTGTGTTCACGAACGAGATGCTGCACGAAGTTGTCCTTGCGATAGCAGGTATGGTTGCAGTCTGCGATCTGACATGTCCAGTTCTCCAGCTGACGGTGTCGCTCATTCTCATGTCTAACCCAGTCCGCCTTGCGCTTGAACGATTTGGGTTCCCCGCAATTGGGGAAGGTGCACGTGAAAGGCTGTACATCTTCATGCACATGCTTGGTCCAATCGGACGGCTTGTAGAACTTTTTGACCTTGAAACACAATGTGCATTCGAACTCGGCTGGTAGGCGCTTGACAGGGGGAAGAGGTACACCTGATGGGAACGCGGCAGGAGCCACATTACCTTCTAGCGGGGGCTCGCCATCGTCGTCGGAAGAACCAGGTGCAGTGACCTGGAAACCGATGAAAGGAGTTTCGGCATCCTTGGCACCGGCTTTCGGAGGGAGTTGCTTCGCCTCACCACCGAGGTCAGTACAAAACTTTGCAGAGGCACAATTCTTATGCTGTACGGCGTTGAGATGCTTGACCTTGAACTCCAATAATCTCTTGTATCTGCGCATTTGCTCCTGGGTGATACGCTCAACCATGAAATCAGCCAGGCGTGGGTTCAGTTGTCTAGCATGACTTCTGAAGCCGTCGTACGTTGGGACAATGGGATCGGTGCGGACCGTGAGATCCATACTAACGGGGTCTTGGTCATCTTCATCATCGTCTCCAGCTGGACTTGGCTGTGCGGAAGGCTTCGTGGCCTCTGTGTCCGCGAGCGGTGAAGCTAACATAGGCATCGGTGGACCTCCGTGCTGCGTCATCAGCTCAGCCAGCCCAGGCGATCTCCCTCTCCCGATATCGCTCCTGCTTCGAGTACGTCTGATGGCATTTTTGGGACCTTTGTACCATGGGCCCGCTGCCGCAGACAGACCTACTGAACTAAGTTGTCCCCCGTCCTTGCTATGACTGCTTAGGTTTGTATCAACTCGAGGAGATTTTGGACGACCCCAACTACCTATACGTTTCGGCTTCTCCATGATGGGCTCCTTAGACTTGTCCGAGGCTGCATCAGACTGCTGCACTGGTATACTGCCCTTGCGCTTGAGTATATTGCTTGGTGTACGTTTGGGTAGAATGTTTTCCAAGAAGCTGGGCCGCCGTTGTCGCTCCTTGCTCTTTCTTGGCTCGGGTTCGATGACTTTGATAACACCGGGAGCTGCACGTATGCTACCAATATCAGACTCGCTGAGACGGCGTGAGCCAACGGTTGCCGCAAGTGAAGCTTGTTCAACGTCCTTCGCTCGCACCAAGAAGCGCATCATCGCAGCATTGGATGTGGGCGGCTGATATCGAGCCGATGGGTTTGGCGGGTGTGGCTGCAACGGTCCATCTACCCATGGCTTGACAGCAGTACCGTCCTTTGGTATAAGTTCTTGTGTCGGAGGAAAGTACGAGTTTTCTATATGGCTTGCGTTGATATCGATCGCAGCGGGTGGGGATTCAGGTTCTGCCGACTCGTCATCGTCGTAATCGTAGTCCCCGTAATCGCTTCGTTCGTCAATGTACACCCCAGGTCCAGGTATGCCCGAATCATCTATACGGTCGAAATTGGTACGCACACCTAGCCCGAAGCTATCGGGGAGAGCCCGGCGTTGAATGTCGTTGTGACTCTTCGCTCGACGAC